GCTTCGGCTGAGGTCAAAGAGGTTGCTGCCTGTGTTCTCCTTTAGGATTTTGATGGACTCCTGTCTCACATTGAGGTCTTTCAACCATTTGGAGCCGAGTAGACATTTTTCTAAAGAAGACATACAGATAGCCACTGGACACGTGAAAAGATGCTCAACATCACTAATCAGCAGGGAAAAACAAATCAAAACCACAATGAGATGTTGCCTCACACCAGTCAGAGTGACTAGTAACAGAAGACAAGAAATAACAAGTATTGTTGAGGATGTGGAAGAAAGGGAACCCTCATGACTGTTGGTGGGAATGTAGACTGGTGTAGCCACCATGGAAAACAGTTTGGAGGTTCCTCAAAAAAATTAAGAATAGAAATACCATATGGTCCAGCTATTCCATTTCTTGATATTTATCCAAAGGAAACAAAAACACTAGTTTAAAAAGATATATGCACTTCTACATTTATTGCAGAATTATTTACAATAACCAAGATATAGAAGTGAACATCCACTGATAGATGAATGGATAAAAAATGTGACATATATAATTGGATATTACTCAGTCATAAAAATGAATGAAATCTTGCCATTTGCAAGAACATGGATGGACCAAAAGGGTATTAGGCTCAGTGAAATAAGTCAGACAGGGAGGGATAAATACCATATGATTTCACTTATACATGTAATCTAAAAAACAAAACAAACAAACAAAAACAGGCTGATAAATACAGAAAACAAACTGGTGGTTGCCAGAGGGAAGGGGGTAGGGACATGAGTGAAATAGGTGAATGGGATCAAGACATACGAACCTCCAGTTCTAAGTCACAGGGATGAAAAGTACAGCATAAGAAATATAGTCAATAGGGGCCCCTGGGTGGCTCAGTCGGTTGAGCGTCCAACTCTTGATCTCAGCTCAGGTCATGATCTCAGGGTCGTGGGATTGAGCCCTGCTTTAGGCTCTGCACTCAGCGGGAAGTCTGCTTCTCTCCTCCCTCTCCCTCTGCTCCTCCCCTGCTTGCGTGCTCGCTCTCTCTCTCAAATAAATAAATAAATAAATAAATAAATAAATCTTTAAAAAGAAGAAACATAGCCAATAAATTATGCTAACCTTGTGCGACGACAGGCAGTAACTATACTTACAGTGGTGAGCATCTCATAATGCCTATAAATGTGGAGTCACTATGTCGTACACCTGACACTAATAATACCAGTTTTATTTTTTTTTAAGATTATTTATGCATTTGAGAGAGAGAGCACGGGGAGAGGGGCAGAGGGAAAGAATCTCAAGTAGACTCCACGCTGAGCAAGGAGCCGGCCGGATGCGGGGCTGAATCTCACAACCCTGAGATCATGACCTGAGCTGAAATCAAGAGTTGGGCGCTTAACCGACTGAGCCACCCCGGCGCCCTTAATAATACTGGTTTTATAGTCAATTATAGTCAATATAGTCAACAATGCTTCAATTAAAAAAAAAGAAAAAAGAACATATTGTTGTAGTCCTTACATAGGAATACATTGCATTGCATTTACTCATTAACTTCATATTTACTGAGTGTCTGTTATAGTCCTAGGTACTGTGTTAGGCTGTGGGTAAGAATGGTAATCAACCCATTTCGTGTCCTCAATTAAATTATAAAGAAATAAAGAAGAGAGGCCAAGGAAACATTCTGAACCATGTGAGAAATGCTATGATTTGAATAAGAAGAGCAAATCACTTCACCCGGTTTTCAGGAGGTTTGGGAAAGTTTTCCAAGAAGATGATATCTTGTATGTGAAATTGTGCTATGTACCATGACAGACTTGCAGATACAACCAAACAATCCCTAGTTTCAAGGTGAGCATGGTTTTGAACAGAAGATAAAAGGCAGGTAAAGAAGGTCCAGACCACCCAGACTTTCTCCACATCAGCAACAGGCCAGTTAGCTTTCTCATCGTCCTGTGTGTTCACTGGGATAGCACTTTTAATTTCCTCCAACAAGTTTTCCTTTACATTCACAACTTGGCTCACTGGTGCAAGAGGCCTAGGCTTTCAGTCTGTCTCAGCTTTGGACATGCTTTCCTCACTAAGCTTAATCCCTGCCAGGTTTCGATTTAAAGCAATGGATGTGTGATTCTTCCTTTTACCTGAACACTTAGGGGCCGTTCGTCATAGGGTTATTAACTGGCCTAATTTCAATACTGTTGTGTCTCAGGGAATAGGGAGGCCCGAGGAGAGGGAGAGAGACGGAGGAATGGCCGTCGGTGGGAAAATCAGCACACACATATCTATCGATTAAGTTCGCCATCTTATATGGGAGTGGCTCACAGAGCCCCCAGACAATTACAGTAGTAACATCAGGGGCGCCTGGGTGGCTCAGGAGGTTAAGTGTCCACCTTCAGCTCAGGTCATGATCCCAGGGTTCTGGGATCGAGCCTCGCATCGGGCTCCCGGCCGGATTCTGGTTCTCCCTCTGCCTCTCCCCTCTCTCATGCTCTCTTTCTCTCTCACAAGGAAATACATAAAAATCTTTAAAAAAAATAGTAACATCAAAGATCAGTGATCACAGATCACCGTAAAAATATAATAATAATGAAAAACTTTGAAATATTGTGAGCATTGCCCAGATGTGGCACAAAGCAAGTAAGTGTTGGAAAAATGGTGCCAAGAGACTTGCTCGACCCAGGGTTCCCACACAACTTCGGTTTGTAAAAAGCACAATGTCTGCAATGCTCAATAAAGTGCAGCGCAATAAAACAAGGTATGCCTGTAATGTTGGTTCACTGAACTGAACAGTTAAAACAGTAATTTTTTTAAAAAAAATATTTTATTTATTCATTTGAGAGAGAGAGAACGAGCATGGCAGGGAGTGGGGAGACAGGCAGACTCCCGACGTGGGGCTCGATCCTAGGACCCGGAGATCACGACCTGAGAGCCAAAGACAGACGCTTAACCATCTGAGCCGCCCAGGTGCCCCTAAAACAGTAACTTTCAGCTTACAACACCACGACATGTCATTTAGGCCATTTCACCACAAAAAAAAAAAACGAAAAATGAGAAAAAGATCTAGATGGAAAACGAAAATGCCAATTCACAGTGCACACTTAAGTTCTTTGTGCTTCGCTCAGAAAAAAAAGTAAAGGGAGTAGTAATAAAATCAGGCCTGCAGCATGTGGTCAGAGGGCTTACCACACCTCTGAGAGGAAGGGGAAGTCTCTGTGAGAACCAACCTCATCTATGACAGAGCAGAGAAGAGCAGATGCCAGGCACCGGGAGGCCACCAGCACCAGCCTCTGCCGCTGACAGCATGCTCTGGTTGCTTCTGCCCCTCACGCTTGTCTTCTCCTTCAGCCCAGGTAAATGCTGCAGCAGATTCAGGTAGCCACTCACTGACGCCCTGGTTTTGTGCTGCTTGCTCGATCTAAGTCACTTGTGCATATTGTCTGTCTGTCTCTCTGCCATCGGACGGGGTGGGGGGGAGGGGGCTCTCGGTTGTGCCTGAGAAACTGCCACCTCCTCTCAATTTAGCACATGAGGTGCCCTCGCTCCTTCACACTTAAAAAATTTTAAGATTTTTATGTATTTAAGACACGATTTCACCTGTGTCTGCCTTTGAGGGAAGTCTCTGCGGGGCATGGGAGGTGAGCTTCTTCTAAGACCAGACTACTTGGACTTTACAACCAGCATGCTGTGGTATGAAGAGTCCTGAGATTAGGAGAGTGAGTTCTCTTCCCAAATTAGCTACTATCTTGCTCTGGAACCTCAGGTAGGTTACTGATTCTGCCTGAACCTCACTATCCTTATTGAAAAGATTGAAGATCTATGGCTCAGCGTACCCACAATTTCTGGGCACAATGAAGACACTAGAATAGTCCTATTAGTTTTTGCTTACTGTAAAAAGAGACATCTCCCATCCTCTCATGCAAATCAGGGTCTAGGCAGTCCAACAGGACTTTAGGTGCCACAGAGAAAGGAACGGTTCCCCCTGTCCGTTATACATGGAAAACATGAAGGTATTCTGTTCTGGGCCCTGGGCTAAGTGCTGCACATGCATTATATACATAAGCCTCAGGACTGGCCTGTGAGTTTGTACTATATTGACCCCATTTTAAAATGAGGAGCCAAGATGATTTAAAGAACTTGCCCAAATTTCATTAGCTAGCAGGTGGAAAGCTCTTGTAACAGTTGCAACATTTCTGAGACCAAGCACAGCCCTAGCACAAGAGAAAAGACAGAAGTGAGAGAGTCACCACAGATGTAGAATTAACTAGATTGACTGGCAGTGGGAGTGAGGGGAAAGGCTGGTTGGTTTTCTACTTTCTGGGGAGTATTGTGATCAAAGCAGGCAAAAACCCCCATCCTTACCGAGTTCATTTGAGCAGGGGAAACAAGATGAATAAGTGAAATGGCATATTGCACAGAAATCGATGATAACTAAGGCAAGCAGGGAAGGAGGGTATGAAGTACGGCAGGGCAGGGAAATTTCAGACAGAGTAGCCAAAGGTGGTGAAATTGGGTGAAAAAGGGGAGGGGAGGAGGGAGCAGCCATGGAGAAGGTGAGTTCAGTTTGGGACCTACTGATTTTAAGACATCAGTGTGATATCCATGAGAAGATTTCCAGAGAGCAGCTGGGAATTGAGGTCTAGGGGCTGGAGGCTTGGGAGTCATGGCACGAAACTAATAAACAAAGCTAAGGAGAAAGTGCAAGGAGGACAGAACCCTGGGCAATATGGGTAAGGTGCAGAAAGAGGGAGAATTTGTTCATATATTCGAGAGCCACTCCCTGGCTTGGTGGCAAAGCCCTGCATCTTTGCCTCACTTTTACCTCTGACAAAACCGAACCCACCCTAAAATGAAATATTCTGAATGTGCTCAGGTTAAAATTCCCCTGTTCCTCCCCATTTCCATCGATCCCTCTCGTAAATACCCTATGAAATAGACACTGTCCTTATTCCCACTTCAGGGAGGAGGAAAGAAGGCACATGACACTTAAGTAACGTGCTTCGTGTCACACAATTATGGGTTGGGGTGGGACCGTAAAAAGAAACACATGGGAATGCATTTGCAGGTGTTCTGAAGCCCAGGAGAGGAGCAATGATTGCCAAGGTTGGACATCAGGGAGCCTGGCTCCAGAGTCTGTGCTCATAATCACCTGGCTATGCTACTTAGTTTACACATAGCTACATTCATATACATGAATGTATATATAATTACAAAATGTGACACCAGGAAGAAAATCAGCAGGGTACCATGAAACAGAAAAACAAGGGGATCTGCTTTGCTTGGGGTCAGAAGTTTGAGCGAGGGAAAGGAATCTGCTGCAGCAAGGATCTGGCACAAATCAAGTCAATTTTGAAAACAAGCATGAAGGAAGATGACTCATGCCATCCAAACTTCTTTCCAGTTGGTCAGACACTGTAACTTGCTATTTTTTTAAAAAGTTAGCTGAAAAGATAAACCATATTGAGAAATAATTCCCGTAGGTATAACTGGAATCGGGCATCATCATGCCCTGGAGAAAATAAATTTCATTAGTTTCTCCGTTTTATTCTTTCTAGATGGAAACTTATCAAGCATTGACATGCATACAAATTACTAGGGAGTCTTATAATACTGATTCTGAATGAGGACAAATATTCTGCATTCATAATAAGCTCCCTGGTAACCCCAGTGTTGCTCCGTGGACCACACACTGAGTAGCAAGGATCTAGATTTCACGGGATTCTAGTCATATTGGGGTTGAAGGGAGGGAGAAATAGGGACTAACTCTCTGCGTATATTTGCCAGAAGCAGATACGGGTATTCTAATGTTGAGGAGAGAAGTGGCTGCAAGCATTGGCCGAGCCAATACATGTGAGTTAGCCATATGATTCTGAGGTCCTGAGTCAAAACTTTTCTGCTAAGAGATTGTATCCAATGGCTCCCTTCCTCGGGGAGAGTGTTAGCTACTTCTCTTACCCACCATCCACACCTTCCAATGTTTATCGTTCCTCTTTATTGTTGCTCACCACGGGCAAGGAGTTGTTTTGCATTTTGACATTATCCTCAAGGACAACTGTACTTTTCCACTTCTCAGAGTCGTGGTCTGTCCCATGTGACCTCCAGCCTCCCGTGCCCCTCAGCTTCCAGCCTCCCAATGCCCATCTAGCCTCAGCTGGGTCTCCACCTACAGGCAGATTTTCTTTCTTTCTTCCATTAAGGTAAAATTCACAAAACATAAAATAATAATTGTAAAGTATGTAATTCAGTAGCATTTAGTACATTCACAGTGTTGTGCAACCACCACTTTTATCATTCCAAAACATTTTATCACCCCAAAAGAAGACTCTATGTCCATTAAGCAGTAATTTCCCATTTGCCCCTCCCCCCAAACCCCGCTCACCCCCTGCAAATACCAACTAGCTTTTTGTCTCTGTGGGTTTACCTATTCTGGACATTTCATACCAGTGAAATGGTATGATGTGTGACCTTTGTGTCTGACTTCTTTCACTTAGCATAATGTTTTTGAGGTTCCATCATATTATATCATGTATCAGCACTTTATTTCTTCTTATTGTTCAATAATACTCCGTGTGTGTGTGTGTGTACCACATTTTATTTATCCACTCATCTATATAGATGAACACTTGGCTTGTTTCCACCTTTTGGCTCTTATAAATGGTGCTGTGATGAAGATTTGCGTGCAAGTATTTGCTTGAGTACCTGTTTTCAATTCTGATCCAATTCTGGATCATACGATAATTCTAGGATTAATCTTCTGAGGAGTCACAAATAGTTTTCTACAGTGGCTGATCCAGTTTACATTCTGACCAGCAATGTATGAAGGTCTTAATTTCTCCAGCACTTCTTTTCTTTTTTTTTCTTTTTTTCTTTTTTTAATTTTTTTATTCTTATGTTAATCCCATACATTACATCATTAGTTTTAGATGTAGTGTTCCATGATTCATTGTTTGTGCATAACACCCAGTGCTCCATGCAGAACGTGCCCTCCTCAATACCCATCACCAGGCTAACCCATCCTCCCACCCCCCTCCCCTCTAGAACCCTCAGTTTGTTTTTCAGAGTCCATCGTCTCCAATGGTTCGTCTACCCCTCCGATTTCCCCCCTTCATTCTTCCCCTCCTGCTACCTTCTTCTTCTTTTTTTTTTTTCTTAACATATATTGCATTATTTGTCTCAGAGGTACAGATCTGAGATTCAACAGTCTTGCACAATTCACAGCGCTTACCAGAGCACATACCCTCCCCAGTGTCTATCACCCAGTCACCCCATCCCTCCCACCCCACCCCCCACTCCAGCAACCCTCAGTTTGTTTCCTGCAATTAAGAATTCCTCATATCAGTGAGATCATATGATACATGTCTTTCTGTGTTTGACTTATTTCACTCAACATAATACCCTCCAGTTCCATCCACGTCGTTGCAAATGGCAAGATCTCATTCCTTTTGATGGCTGCATAATATTCCATTGTATATATATACCACCTCTTCTTTATCCATTCATCTGTCGATGGACATCTTGGCTCTTTCCACAGTTTGGCTATTGTGGACATTGCTCCAGCACTTATTTTCTTAATAATTATTTATCTTATTAATTCTTACCAGCACTTACCTTCTGATGATGATGATGATGATCACTCTCCTGGAGTTGGTGTTCAAAAGGTTTCTTTTCCTGTTCCAGCAATTCATTAGTTAGTTTCTAAAAGATAAAATTCATAGGCAGAAGCTTCTAGGAGTTTCCTGAGTCTAGGACATCTCATTGGTGACAAAATCCCTTCTCGAGTTTTATTCTGCTTCTCATTCTTGAGGGGGCATGGGACAATGGATCATCTTCTGTAGTTACTTCCTGCTGGATGTGGGCATCATCGTGGGAATCAGCAGAGGTGCAGAACCTCTTTCTAACTAGTCTGAGATATGTGAGTCACCAGGCTCAGCTCTGAGCTGTTCATACCCTTGCGTTACCACCATCTGTAATTGTATGGCCTCTGTATGCTTGGTCACAAACTGTACCAAACAGGTAAGTATGCAGGTCCAAAAAATAATGAGTCGTGGGATTATTAGTGGCCACAGGAAAGAGAGGAGATTTGTGATACTGGGTCGTGCCGTTTGATAGTCGGCCAGACTTAATCAGAAGATCCTCCTCTGGTCGAAGGTACGCAGTCAAGCCCCCTGATCAAAGAGTTTTTTAATATCCACTTCTACTTCATCTGAGGTATTATTACCCCAGGTACAACATGAAGTATTAGTTATTACACAGAGTCCCCCCTCCTTCTGCTAACAAGTAGTCCAGAGCTGGTCTATTATTTCACACTACATTAGCTAAGGAGTCAAGGACAATTTTTAATTTCTTGAGGGCACTGCCTGTGTTTCTAGCCCATGTTTCTATTGTGCCAATTCCTGAAGGGTGGCTTCATGATATAAAACCTCCCCAAGGGGCGGTTAATGTGATGGCCAATCCAAAGCTGGCCAGAATCAGACCCAGGGCTCTCTTTCCCCGATGGGAAGATTGAGTAGGATTATGTAAGGTCATCCTCACAGGACCCATGAAGCATACAGTACATTGCCCAGTGAGCTGGACATTGTCAATGGACACGTGAGCAACAGCAAGAAGCAGGGAGATAAAAATCCCAGCTGGAGATGAGTCCCTTGGGTGCCTATGGTGGGATGATCCACAAATAAAAACATATCCTGGGGTGTGCAGGCTCAGTGAGTCTGCACTGAGTTAAACCAGTTAAGCAATTTGGGACCCCAGCTCGGGGATGCCATTGCATTCAGGAGACAAAGGTCCGCTCCACAAGGCTGTGTAATTGATTGGACCCGTGGCTGCCTTTCCAGGGGCCTGATTATATAAATAGGTATGTCTCCAGCACCCCTTAGGTTTGGTCAGTCTTGTCCTTGTCTTACACTGACTTTCCCACGTCCCTCTAGTGTTGTCGCATCCCTTCACTGGACACCAATGAGCTTCACTTGGAAAGCAATCCTCAGTGACGTTGAGGGGCTGTGGATGTCTCAGGGGTACACCCACAGCAGGGCCGGGCGCTGACGTGCAATTTGGGTATAGCACCCCTTTCCTCCCAGTATCATTAACAACAGGGGTAAGATTTATACACAGAATTTCTCTATGGGAATGACCCAGCCGTATAGCTATGGAAGGAGAATTTTTATTTTACTTTATTCTTAAAATTTATTTATTTATTTATTTGAGAGAGAGAGAGAACATGAATGGGAAGGGCAGAGGGAGAGGAAGAGAAAATCTCAAGCAGACTCCCCACTGCACACAGAGCCTGACTCTGGGCTTAATCCTACAACCCTGAGATCATGACCTGAGCCGAAACCAAGAGTCGGACACTTAACCGACTGAACCACCCAGGCACCTCTGGAATGAGAATTTTTAAAGGAATTCGGGAGCCCATAAAAAAACTTACATTAGTTCTTGCTTCGGCATCACATACACTAAAATCGGAATGATACAGGGAAGATGATCATGGCCCCTGAGCAAGGATGACACGCACATCCGTGAAGCATTCCCTATCTTTATGTATTAATCGAAATCAAATTTTGCATTGTAATTATGTGTTATTTCCTAAGCCCAAAATGTATGTATTAAGCATAAAACCTGTTATAACTTAAAAAGAGATTTGCCACTGCTGCATTAGAATAGAGTGGACTTCACATCTAACATTTTTTTTAAGAGCAGAAAATTTTTTTTTTCTGATTTTTATCCTTTAGAACGTATCACTTAGCAAACAGGACATCTTCAGAAAGGATTCAGTAGCATTTTATTAAAGGATCTGTGTGCCAAGTACTATGCGTATTTATATGTTGGCCGGTCATCTCTAACAACTTAATGTTAAAAATTGTGTGTTTGTCATACAGCCCTAAGTGGAGGTAGCCGGACCTCACTGATATGCCTTTCAGTCTCATTGAAAACTTACACCACAGCTCATATCGCTTGTTCTCTGAAATGTCTAAAGGACATGAGCTCTCAGCCATGAAGAACTTTGGCTTCTCGGAAACAGCTTGTTGCCAAGGTCAGGCTAAGAGGAGACCTGCTTACCCTTGTGGTTGCCCAGCTCATGTGAGCCGTCCCCACTTTCCCACTTAGCTAGCTCGCCTCTGCGTATGAGCTATTGACCTGAAGGTACTTAACTAGTAGTCTGTTACTAGTTAGGTACCTACACAACATATCTCCGTTGACAAGTCATTTTAACATTAATTAAGTGAAAAGAAAACTGATTATTCTTTCAGTAGTTTGGAGCCTTTGTGGTCTCAGATGTCCTGATTTCAATTCTCTTTTTTTTCAATTGTGTGCTTGGAAACAGCATATATATATATGATATATAATTATATCATTATATCATTATATCATATATATATATATATTTTACTGTGGTTTTTAGGATTTTTTTCTTAACACAATGAAGCCTTAAAAAAAAAAAAAAAGATGTTCACACATTCTCAATGTATGGTAAAACAGATAGAAGTAGCTTCTCTGGGTCCAGAGCAGGGTCCAGAGTCCTACTCACTGGGCTAACTCTCCTAAACCAGCTCCTGATGGCACCTGAATCATCTGCACGGGGCTCTTGGAAACCACTGGTCAGGAGCATTCCTTGTTCTCATTAGCCAAATAACAGTACTTCTGTCACCACTGTCAGACTGATTTGGTCTTCATAATTTTGTATTCTGGTTTCAGTCAGAATCATTCCAATTTGTATTTTATTTTCATTCCAATTTTTAAATTAATTTTTTTATTCATTCTTAATCAGGTTCATCAGTAGATGCTGTTATTCGGAAGAACTGTGATTCCAGCAAATGAGGATAACTGATGCCTTTTTTGCAGTTTTGAACAAAAGTATTTACAACTTCTAAATTATTATTTTGTAAAATTCTTACAGCCTCACCATTTCACCTCAGCACATGCTGATTTAATATTGTTTTATGTAAAAATAGTCCTTTTCCCATTGTGTCGTTAGTTCTTAAAATGCATTAAAAGATAACCAAGTTGACTTTCTCACCTTATATAACCAACTGTATTACAAACACATATTGGGGTGACAGTGTCCTGGACAGACATAATATTTCTCACATATGACTTTACTGAGGAAATAATATACCAGTTAGCATGGTCATGTCACCTTGTGCTTCAAATTGAAATTTTTAGGATCATGAAATTACAAAGTCAGATAAGGGATTTATAAGTATTTTTTTGGTAATGCCTTAGGCAGCCTTTCCAGAGTAAATTCTGGGCCCCGTTGCTGTTTTTTGTTTTATTGGATATATTTTGCCTTTTTCATTTTATCAATTTCCTGGAAAACCATCTTCAATAAATGTTTCCTAGTCTCTTTAGGTGTTCGGTTGGTAGTCATGGGAGTGACACATAAGCGAGGCCAGAAGTTGGGTTGAGAGTGCAAGAGACTATATTGTGCTTTAATATGTCATACTTGATAATAAGTGTATAAGTTGCCAATATATGAATTGATGTTAAATATATCTCCCACTTAGGGGTGCCTAGATGGCTCAGTCTGTTAAACATCTGCCTTCAGCTCAGGTCATGTTCTCAGGGTCCTGGGGTGGAGCCCCATGTCAGGCTCCCTGCTCAGTGGAGAACCTGCTTCTCCCCCTCCTTCTGCCGCTCCCCCTGCTTGTGCTCTCTCTCTCTGTCAGTCAAATAAATAAATAAAATCTTTAAAAATATATATATCTCCCATTTGAATTCCCATTGGATAAAGTTATTTCTTGATGTGAAAAAAAAAAACTTACATTAGGGTCCCTCTGGACTGGGTGGTGTATAAGCCATCCGATTTCAGTCTGCGGGTGTTGGTGACACGTCCAACAGCCTTTTAGTTTATTTCCCTCTGCTATGAGTTTACTTAGATTCCCCAGGGAGTTCAGTTCCCAAGGGTGCTCTGGTGTGTCTGTACCTTGAGATATTCCTAGAACCTCTACGACAATAATTAATATCAGGATAGTGTTCACACTAAGATCTTATGGGCTGAAACACGGTACCTGGCCTCTGGAAGCTGGTGAGCAAGGCAAAGAGGACTTGAAAACTATCCATTTTAACCATGTATTAGCAATGAGCGGTGGCATTTCTCACTGAACGGTTACAGGGAAAGTGGCTTAATCTCGTCAAGGCAGCGAGACAGAACAGCAGACTAGCGCTGTGTGGACTGAAATCACGGTAGTTGAGATCTGACTGTCCCGTCCACTGGGGTTTTACTTAACTGCGTGTCCCTGGAACACAAGTTTCAGGTCAGAGAGTGACTCACGGGTGTGTTTGCTGTCGTCTGTTGCTTGTAGCACCTCATCTGCCGAGCTGCTGGTGCAGGTGACTTTCCCACTCCAGAGTCGGGGATCCAAGGCACCACCCCTTCTAGTTTTTGGGGTTTTTTTTAAGATTTTTTTTTTTTTTTATTCATGAGAGACAGAGCGAGAGAGAAAGGCAGAGGGAGAAGCAGGCTCCCAAGGAGCAGGGAGCCCG